AAACCAATCATTTTCACATTCAGAAGACAGCGATAACTTCTAGCAACACCACCTTGTATAAATTCGCCTTGTGCTGCACATTTTACAAGAGACACTTCTATTGCGGGTGTTCTTTGCTGGTTCTTTGCGACACCCGGTGTTGTCAGTGTTCCGGTGTTGAAGTAAGCTGAATTAATACAAGGTGCTATCGGTTGTGCAAAACCAATTCAAATATACCCAAGTTCAAAACCCAAAAATACAACAAACACATAATTTTCACATTCAGAAGGACCGCGGGTAATTTTAACAACACCACCTTGTAAAAATTCGCCTTGTGCTGAACATTTTACAAGTGACACTTCGCTGTGTTCTTTGCGCCGCCCGGTGTTGTCCGTGTTCGGGTGTTGATGGCGTCATTGCGTCACTGAGTTGTGACAATCGGTATCGGCGCCAGTAACTCAGCTCTCGGTATCAGCGCAATGGCGCGGCGCCGCACTGTGTTACCCACGGCTAGCGAGAGTGTAAAAGAAAAATTGAGAGTAAAATTGAGAGCAAGAGAAAATTTTCAAAAAAAGTTATTGAACGCAAAACTAGTAAAAACTTGCAACTTAAGCCATTTTGACACTTTCTGTCGGTTAAGATTTGGCGCGCAATTTTCTTTTTAATTGGGAATAGTTCATAAGTCATAAAAGTAAAAATATATAGAATAGATTTAAATTTTTTATCCATATTTTCATTTCACTGATTATGTTTCATCAAATCATCCTCTTAAACATTTGAGTTTGAAACATAACCTTACTTTTGGACTCCTGCAAATTCCTGCTAGTAAAATTTTTACTTGCAAGAATTTGCAGCTCTCTCCGGTTGTTACGCTCTCGAATTCGCTCCCTCTTGCAAATATTTTGGATAATTAAATGCATTTTCAGTAAAAACTTGCAAGTACTAGTAACAATTCGTAACAATTTTTTTGATATTGATTGGACCTATTACTATGCTCCTTCTTAGCAGAACGTAATTTAGCATTTTCGACAACCGAGCCCCTAACCAAATTTCTACAAGAAAAAAAAAATTATTTAAAAAAACGCGATTATTTAGCCCCTTTAAACTTACATATTATTGCCCTGAAATTTAATGGGCTAAAAAATCTGAATAAAGTTGAAAATCTTGCTGAAAATTTGCAGATTGTTTGTAATTTTTGCACAATTTTTGTGGATTTATATTTTGTTTGTTAATGAGCTTGGCCTTTATGGAAAAATAATAAACATTAAATAAACGAAAGAGAAACAGCCAAAATCGATCAAAATGTTTTTGACTTAATCAGNCACAAGTGTATGTATAAAATGATTTTTATATTAACGATCTCAAACCAGTTTACAATGAATTTTAAATGTGCTCTGTCGAAATGATATTTTAATATACTTTACGTACCATACCATATGTACCTTTTTATACAATAAAAGAATAAATAAGAACACTTTTTTGTACACTTAATTGAAACAGACGTTTTTGGGTAGGAAATGACGTTTTTTCAGACCAAGAGGGACGTT